ATCACACGACAGATAGCAGGCCCTGAAAGAAATCAAAGTATTTTGCTCCAAATTATGTTTCTTTGCCATATATTGAAATAGTCCTGTCATGAGGGAAATCTACATTCTAAAGAGAATCCCCTTCCTTTTCCAGGTCTTTTTCCTGATCCAGGAGAAAAACAGTCTGACAGGCAAAATTTACAATCTATGTTCTCTGAAGAATGCTACCTGGAGACTTCATCTGCATAATAAAAACTTTGGTCTCCACCAGGCGTGGTGGCTCACGCCTGTAATCCCAGCACTGGGGGAAGCCAAGACGGGTGGATTACAAGGTCAGGAGATCGAGACCATCCTGGCTAACATGGAGAAACTCCATCTTTACTGAAAATATAAAAGCTGGGTGTGGTGGTAGGCATCTGTAATCCCGGCTACTTGGGAGGCTGAGGCAGAAGAACTGCCTGAACCTGGGAGGCAGAGGTTGCGGGGAGCTGAGATCATGCCATTGAACTCCAGCCAGGGCAACAAGAGCAAAACTCCATCAAAAATAAATAAATAAATAAATAAATAAATAAGGAAGGAAGGAAGGAGGGAGGGAGGGAAAGAAAGAGAGAGAGAGAGAGAGAAAGAAAAGAAAGAAAGAAAGAAAGAAAGAAAGAAAGAAAGAAAGAAAGAAAGAACCCAGCCAGGCAACAAGACAAAACTCCATCAAAAATAAAATAAATAACAACAAATAAGGAAGGAAGGAAGGAGGGAGGGAGGGAAAGAAAGAGAGAGAAAGCATGTTGTTGGGTTGCTGCTGTTGTTGTTGCTGTTGTTGCTGCTGTTGCCGTTGCCGTTGCCGCTGCAAAGAAAGAAAGAAAGAAAGAAAGAAAGAAAGAAAGAAAGAAAGAAAGAAAGAAAGAAAGAAAGAAAGAAAGAGAAAGAAAGAAAGAAAGAGAGAAGGAAAGCATGAAAGCATGGCAGTACCTGCTCAGCTTCTTGGGAGGCCTCAGGAAACTTACAATCATGGTGAAAGGGTGAAGGGGAAGCTGGCATATCTTATACAACCAGAGCAGGAGAAAGAAAAATGAGGTAGATGCTACACACTTTCAAACAACCAGATCTCGTGAGAACTCTATCATGAGAACAGCACCAAAGGGACGGTGGTAAACCATTCAGGAGGATCCACCCCCATGATCCAATCACTTCCCACCAGGCCCCATCCCCAACACTAGGGATTACAACTGAACATGAGATTTGGGTGGTGACACAGAGCCAAACCATATCAACAAGTGTCTTCTATGTTATGAAATATCCCTCCTAAATAGAATTTTACTGACTAGAACAGTTTGGGATGGCCTCTTTGAGGAAGTGACAGTAGACTTGAGAGAAGGAAGACAAGGGGCTTGTTTGGGGGAAGGGCCTTCCAAGCAGAAGTAAGTGTGTGTGGACCCCTGAGGCAGGCATGGGCTGGTTGGCTCTGGAGACCACCAAGGAGGTCAGTGCAGCTGGATGGAATGAGGGAGGGGGCAGGGGAAGGAGAGGAAGTTGGAGAGGATGGGGAAAGCAGATCACAGCAGGCATCAGAGGGCAGGTAAAGACTTAGGACTTTACTTGGGCTCCAATAGGAAGTCACTGGAATAGGTAAGTGATGAGATGCAACTTACACTGTAGAAGATGACTCTTGCCTGCTGAAGGAAGGCTACAGAGAGGCCAAGATGGAAGCAGGGACCTGTTAGGAGGCTGTTGTCATCCAGGTGAGAGATTTTGGTGCTGCAACCAGGGTCATGAAGGGGGAAGTAGAGAAGATCATATAGGCAAGGGTCATTGCATTGGTTCCACAAATATTCCCCAAAGACCTACTGCATGCCAGGTCCTAGGTCAGCCACTGGACATACAGAAATGAGGTGTGACATCACCTTTGAGGGTTACATGGGTTATGCACTGGCTTTCTATCTTTCTTGGCCATGAGTATTAGTAAAAAAAAAAAAAATGCATTTTACATTGTGGCCCAATGCACATATGTGACATATACACAGGGAAATACCAGTTTCATGAGACAGTTCGTATCTTTATGTGACTCTATTTTCTATTCTATTCTATTCTATTCTATTCTATTCTATTCTATTCTATTCTATGATTTCATTAAAAACGCTGGTTGAACCTCTGAAGTCAATTTCATAACTTGCTGGTAACTCACAACCCTACCTTGCAAAAAGCCTTGACCTAACAGGAGAGGTAAATACATGAGTAGAGCACTAGGTGCAGAACCACATGGTGAGTTCTCTATAAGGGGCAGGCACAGCTGCTGCCCTGCAGGGAGGTGCTCTCTGTGCATCAGCTCAGCTAGTTGCTGTAACAAAACACCACGGCCTGGGCACGGAAACAACAGAAGTTTATTTTCTCACAGTTGTGGGGGCTGAAAGTCCAAAAGCAAGATGTTGGTAGAGTTGATTTCTTCAGGGGCCTCTTACCTTAACTCGAAGATGGCCACATTCTCCCTGTGTCTTCACAAGGTCTTCCTTCTGCTCTGGTGTCTCTGTGTGTCCAAATTTCCTCTTCTGATAAGAACATTAATCAGATTGGATCAGAACCCACCCTAATTGGCCTCATGTTAAGTTAAATCACCTCTCTAAAGGCGCTCTCTCCAAATACAATCACATTCTGAGGTACTGAGGAGCCAGGGCTTCAACATATGAATTTGCAGGGGTTGGGGAGATACAATTTGGCCCCAATAGGCATGTTCCCCAGTCTGGGGACAGGGAAGCAGAGGGAATAGCAGAGGTACAGGATAGTGTGGGGCAGGAAGGAGGTGCATGTACTGTGGCGTCAGTGGAGGGTATGGTGTGAGGTAGGGAGTATCAGGCTGGAAAGGTTGGCAGGGGCTGGATCTGAAGGGCCTTGAATCCTGCACCAATGAATGTAGACTAGCTTGCAGAGGGGTGAATCTCAAGTGTCACTGCACTGCAAGATTGCCTGGGACATTTTGACAAATGCAGGGATCCTTGGAGGGGACATCCCAGAAAGCTGCACTTTAATCAGTATCTCAGATGGACCAAGACCCACCCTCAGCAAAGAAGATGCAGGTGCCATTGACAAGATGTAAACAGGGGCTTGACACTGGCTCAGTTGGAGAGGACAGATTGGAGGGGCAAGAATGGAGACAGAGAGGCCATCGAGGGGGCTGTCCTGAGTGCCCAGCCAAGAAATGATGAAGTTTGAACGGATGCTAACAGTGGTTGACTTTTAGAGAGTGTTTAACATATGCCATGTGGCCGGGCGCGGTGGCTCACGCCTGTAATCCCAGCACTTTGGGAGGCTGAGGCGGGTGGATCACAAGGTCAGGAAATTGAGACCATCCTGGCTAACATGGTGAAACCCCGTCTCTACCAAAAATACAAAAAAAATTGGCTGGGCTTGGTGGCAGGCACCTGTAGTCCCAGCTACTCCAGAGGCTGAGGCAAGAGAATGGTGTGAACCTGAGAGGTGGAGCTTGCAGTGAGCCAAGATCGCATCACTGCACTTCAGCCTGGGCGACAGAGCGAGACTCCGTCTCAAAAAAAAAAAAAAAAAAAAAAATGCCATGAGCCAGGCCTGAGCTAAGCACCCTTCCTGGGTAATCTTACTGATTTCTCACAACAGCCTTGTATGGTAGGTATCTTTATTATTATTACTATTATTATTTTGAGACAGGGTCTTGCTCTGTCACCCAGGCTGGAGTGCTGCAGCACAAACATGGTTCATGCAGCCTCGATCTCCCAGGCTTAAGCAATCCTCCCCTCTCAGTCCCCCAAGTAGCTGGGACTATAGGCACATGCCACCACACCGGCCTAAATGTTGTGTTTTTCTGTGGAGACAGTTTGCCATGTTGCTCAGGCTGGTCTCAAACTCCTGGGCTCAAGTGATCCTCCTGCCTCAGCCTCCCAAAATACTGGGATTACAGGCATGAGCCACCACACCAAACCAGTGTCTTTATTTATTTATTTATTTATTTATTTATTTATTATTTTTTAAGACGAGTCTTGTTCTGTCACCAGGCTGGCGTTCAGTGGCGTGATCTCAGCTCACTGCAACCTCTGCCTCCCAGTTCAAGCGATTCTCCTGCCTTAGCCTCCCGAGTATAGGCACGCACCAGCACGCCCAACTGATCTTTGTATTTTTAGTAGAGACAGGGTTTCACCATGATGGTCTTGATCTCTTGACCTTCTGATCTGCCTGCCTCAGCCTCCCAAAGTGTTGCGATTACAGGCATGAGCCACCGTGACTGGCCTATTTATTTATTTATTGTTTGTTTGAGATGGAGTCTCACTCTGTCATCCAGGCTGGAGTGCAATGGTGTGATCTCAGCTCACTGCAACCTCTGCTTCCCAGGTTCAAGCAATTCTCCTGCCTCAGCTTCCCAAGTAGCTGGGATTACAGGTTTTCGCCACCATGCCCAGCTAATTTTTTGTATTTTTAGTAGAGATGGGGTTTCACCATATTGGCCAGGCTGATCTCGAACTCCTGACCTCGTGATCCACCCGCATCAGCCTCCCAAAGTGCTGAGATTACAGGCGTGAGCCACCACGCCACGCCCGGGCTATCTTTATTTTTATTTCATAGTTGAGAAAACCAAGGCTTAGAGAGGTGAAGAAACTTGCCCCAGGTCACAAGTAGGAAGAGCTGTCCGTGTGTGTGTCAGGACAGGCAGAACCTAGATCTCAGCCCTGCTTCTCTGGGCAGATGCAGAGGGGATGGCAAGGTTGGTGGGAGCTGTGGGGACATAGTAGGCAGGACTTGGTGACAGGCTGAATGTGGGCAATGGGAGGGGTGGGATATGAGCTACTTGCAGGCAGTTCTGGGTCCCTAACTTTCCATGTCGCCAATCAAACGTCAAAGGGAGCCCAGCCTGGGTGTGGGGCAGAAGCGGAGATGTTGGCGGCGTGAAGCTCAGGAGTATACATCAGAGGAAGCCAAAAGCCAGCTGGAATAGTTCATGAATACAGTTTTAATCTTGTTTGCAATCATTTCGAAGGGGAGAAATCATCTGGATCAGAATTAAGATGCTCTGGTTTCAAGGAAATAGCATGCAACTTGCCAGATCTTCCCTTGGAGTCTTCTTGGTAAACTGTTCTGCCTCTGAGACAACTCTGCCTGTGCTGACCTTATTCACAAAGGACCCACGCCCCCTTTGTGGTGAAGCCAAGGAAGTACTCAAGCCATATAAAAACAGGTTTATTTTACAGGAAGTGAATGTCACACTTCCAGAAAACTCTGCCTGGTATGAAAGATATAAATTTGACATTCCTGTCTTTCACTTGAATGGCCAGTTTCTGATGATGCATCGATAAAACACCTCAAAACTTGAAAAACAGCTCCTGAAACTTGAGCAGCAAAGTACCGGAGGCTGACTAATGCCCTCATGATTTCCCACCCTCTCTTCCTATACGGCATCTTGCTAAGGAAATGACCATGGCCTGATACTCCTTTTGTCACCTATACAGAGCCCTAAGGATATTCTGAACACAGTGGTGCCAAACAAATGTTGACATTCCTTTTTTGGTTGATGGGAAAAAGAAAAAAAAAAGGGAGCCCAGACTCCTCACTCTCCTCTCTGCCTTCCCCATCCTCTGTCTGCTCTTCCCCACTCCTCCTGGGGGCTCCCAAGGTACCAAGCAAGAGGCTGACGTTGCTTATGTATGATAGATACAAATCTCTTTGTATGTACTTGCTCGTTTAGTGACTGGAGGGATTATTTTAGTGAAGTCTGTCTCCTCCTTCTTGCTGCCAGAGTGTGAAGCCTCGGATGTCACTCCTCAGGGGGTACAGCCTTGGGTACCCACAGTCACCGTGGGTTAACAAGGGTTGTGGCAGGACTCTCTTTGACTGACTCATTCCCTGACACACTCAGCTGTTAGGCTCCAGTAATTGCCAGCTGAGTTGTCTATTACTGTATTTTCAACAAAGCTCTGGGGTGTAAACTGCTCCACAAATGGATCCAATCAAACCTGGTGACTCCTTTGAAGGAACAGTCCTGGAGGTCAGTGTCTGAGATTTGTTCTGACTCCAGCAGGATTCTCCAGTTTCCCTTTCCCCAGTTTCTCTCCAGCAGACTAGCCAGACTGCAATTTAACCTGTATCTCCAAAGTCCATCAATCTCCCCTGTATTGCTTTTCACCATCACCTCCAGTATTTTGAGAATGCTCTTGGGCCTGAACTTAAAACTTCTCTACAACCTGTTACAAATGTTCCTTTAGGGAAAGATCTGGAGCTCTCTCTCTTACTACCTACTTTTTTGTTGTTTTCAAGACAGGATCTCGCTCTGTCACCCAGGAGGCTGGAGTGCAGTGGCACAATCTTGGTCACTACAACCTCTGCTTCCCAGGTTCAAGTGATTCTCCTGCCTCAGTAGCTTGTATTATAGGCAAGGACTACCACACCCTGCTAATTTCTGTACTTTTAGTAGAGACGGGGTTTCACCATGTTGGCCAGGCTGGTCTCGAACTCCTGACCTCAAGTGATCTACCCACCTCAGCCTCCCAAAGTGCTGGGATTACGGGCATGAGCAACCATGCCTCGGCCTTACTACCCACTTCTGTTCCCAAGAGAAATCTCTGAGCCAGGGCTCTGGTGCTGGCAGGAACAATAGCATGCCACTCTCTGAGTGACATCCCCACTTTAGGAGCTGAGTGCTTAGAGGAGGACAAGTTCAGCAGCCCCAGGTCTCCTCAGCTCCCCTCCTCCACACTCTGAATGGAAGCCCCATTCCACAAGTGGGGTAAGAGTGAACTGTGCCCCAGTGTTCTCAGCAATGCCATGCTCAATGTTGGATATCCATCCTACCAATAGAGGCTGGGCGGAAGACGTGCACCTCCACATCTCAGATACACTCACCCAGAACTCAGCCTCAACAACAGGTAGCTGGGGCAGGATGAAAAATGCTGATGTCCAGTCCCTCCTGAAAAGGTAGCCCCCTGAACTGGAGCAGGGGAGGGAGGGAGCCCTGTGTTCTCTTTTTTTTTTTTTTTTTTGAGACGGAATCTCGCTCTGTCACCCAGGCTGGAGTGCAATGGCACGATCTCAGCTCACTGCAAGCTCCACCTCCCAGGTTCACGCCATTCTCCTGCCTCAGCCTTCCGAGTAGCTGGGACTACAGGCGCCCACTACCGCGCCCAGCTAATTTTTGTATTTTTAGTACAGACGGGGTTTCACCGTGGTCTCGATCTTCTGACCTCGTGATCCACCCGCCTTGGCCTCCCAAAGTGCTGGGATTACAGGCTTGAGCCACCGCGCCCGGCTGTTTTTTTTGTTTTTTTTGAGACAGGCTGTTATTCTGTCACTCAGGCTGAAGTGGAGTGATACAATCATGGCTCACTGCAGCCTAGACCTCCCTGGCTCAAGTGATCCTCCTGCCTCAGCTTTGCAAGTAACTGGGACTATAGGCACGCACCACCATGCCCAGCTAACTTTTTGTATTTTTTGTAGACACGGGGTTTCGCCATGTTGCACTGGCTGGAATATTTTCTCATTCTGAGGCAGATTAGACAGGGTGGTAATAACCTCCCTTCAAGGACAATAAAACTTGCTAAATAGATGGAGAAAACAAACCACCCAGTAATGCACAAACTGCATCCTGGGCTTATGGTTAGAACATCCTGCAGCAATGAGGTAGAAAAGCAGAAGTAGAGCTGGACGTGGTGGCTCAAGCCTGTAATCTCAGCACTTTGGGAGGATGAGGTGGGCAGATCACGAGGTCAGGAGATCGAGACCATCCTGGCTAACACGGTGAAACCCCGTCTCTACTAAAAATACCAAAAAAGAAAAAAAAAAAAATTAGCCAGGTGTGGTGGTGGGCACCTGTAGCCCCAGCTACTTGGGAGGCTGAGGCAGGAGAATGGCATGAATCCGAGAGGTGGAGTTTGCAATGAGACAAGATTGTGCCATTGCGCTCCAGCCCAGGTGACAGAGCAAGACTCCGTCTCAAAAAGAAAAAAGAAAAGAAAAGAAAGAAAAGCAGAAGGGGGCCAGGCATGGTGGTTCATGCCTGTAATCCCAGCACTTTGGGAGGCTGAGGCAGGTGGATCACCTGAGATCAGAGCTTCGAGACCAGCCTGACCAATATGGTGAAACCCGTCTCTACTGAAAACACAAAAATTAGCCGGGCATGGAATCTGGAAGGTGGAGGTTGCAGTGAGCCAAGATCACACCACTGCACTCCAGCCTGGGTGACAGAGTGAGACTCCATCACCAAAAAAAAAAAAAAGTAGAAGGGAAAATCCCCAAATTCATGTAAGCGCAGAAACCCATGTTTAGTGTCCTTGGGCTGACCTATGCTCATTATAATAGTAAGAAACACACTCCTGGGTGGAGATTTAAGATGCTAATGAGACATGCCATGTGTGTACTAGCATGCACAATAATAGCACATGTGCATGCAAGGGACAACCCAGAACATAAATAATCATGAATAATGACTCCCCCCTTTATGAATAATCATGTAAGACCCACATAAAGAAAGTCTCCTCAGTGTCGATCGGTGCTGTCTCACCTTTGAGCAGCCAGCTCTGATCAGCTATCAGAGTGTACTTTCTTTTTATTATTTGTTTAAGGCGTGAGCCACCACACCTGGCCACATCTGGCTAATATTTTAATTTTTCTTTTTTTTTTTTTTTTGAAACGGAGTCTCGCTCTGTCGCCCAGGCTGGAGTGCAGTGGCGAGATCTCGGTTCACTGCAAGCTCCGCCTCCCAGGTTCACGCCATTCTCCTGCCTCAGCCTCCTGAGTAGCTGGGACTAAATTAAAGCGCCCGGCCTTTAATTTTTCATAGAGATAAGGCACGGTAGGCCAATCTCAGATTGCTATAAAGAAATACCTGATGGCGGCCGGGCGCGGTGGCTCAAGCCTGTAATCCCAGCACTTTGGGAGGCCAAGACAGGTGGATCACGAGGTTAGGAGATCGAGACCATCCTGGCTAACACAGTGAAACCCTGTCTCTACTAAAAAATACAAAAAAACTAGCCAGGCGAGGTGGCAGGCACCTGTAGTCCCAGTTACTCAGGAGGCTGAGGCAGGAGAATGGCGTAAACCCGGGAGGCAGAGCTGGAGTGATCTGAGATCCGGCCACTGCACTCCAGCCTGGGCAACAGAGCGAGACTCCGTCTCAAAAAAAAAAAAAACAAAAAAGAAAAGAAATACCTGATGGCCAGTCATGGTGGCTTATGCCTGTAATCCCAGCACTTTGGGAGGCTGAGATGGGCAGATCACATGAGGTCAGGAGTTCAAGACCAGAATGGCCAACATGGTGAAATTCCATCTCTACTAAAAATACAAAAATTAGCCGGGCGTGGTGGCAACACCTGTAATCCCAGCTACTTGGGAGACTGAGGCAGGAGAATCACTTGAACTGGGAGGTGGAGGCTGCAGTGAGCTGAGATCACACCATTGCACTTCAGCCTAAGCGACAGGAGACTCTGTCTCAAAAAAAAAAAAAAAAGAAATACCTGAGACTAGGTAATTTATAAAGGAAAGAGGTTTAATTGGCTCACGGTTCTGCCAACTATACCGGAAGCATGATGCTGGTATCTGCTCAGCTTCTGGGGAGGCCTCAGGAAATTTACAATCATGGTGGAAGGTGAAGGGGGAACAGACATGTCACATGGCCAGCAGGAGCAAGAGAGAGTGAAGTGCCACACACTTAACCCCAGATCTCATGAGAATTCATTCACTTTCACAAGCACAGCACCAAAGGGACGGTGCTAAACGATTCATGAGAAACTGCCCCATCAATCACCTCCCACCTGGCCCCATCTCCAACATTGGGGATTACATTTCAACATGTAATTTGAACAGGGACATATATCCAAACTATATCACAAGGTCTCACTATGTTGCTCAGGCTGGTCTTAAACTCCGGGACTCAAGCAATCCTCCCACCTCAACCTCCCAAAGCTGCTGGGATTACAGGCATGAGCCACTGCTCAGCCTCATTGTGGCTTTTGTCTTAGACTCTTGGGTCACTTGTTTGGGAGAATCCAGCTGCCGTGTTGTAAGAACATTCAAGCTGTCCTCCAGAGAGGTCTACATGGAGAAGAACCCAGGCTTCCTGCCAACATCCAGCACTCACTTTCCAGGCATATGAGTGAGCCTCTGGGAAATAGATCATCCGGCCCTCAAGCTTTCTTATGACTAAAGTCCCAACTGAAATCTTAACTGCAACCCCATGAGAAACTTGAGCCAGAACCCAGGTCCCAGCATAGGAAAACAGTGTATTTCATGGCAAATATGACACCATCTGGAAGTGAAACTCCTGTGGTGAGTGATGTTTGACCCCCACATACCAAGGTGTTCTGCAGTATGCT